GCTCTTAACTGTCAGGAGAGAAATATTTAGGCACAGAGTATCATTAAAGCAAATACTGCAAATGAAAGCTTATACCCAGAATATAACTTTTTTGTCTTAAAGGTGCCACTGGACTCAAACACTGTTCCAATAAAACCTCTGTAAGTGAACACCAACTGTTAACTGTATAGAGAAAAAAGCAGTTAGACACATGCAGGCTATTTGCCTGGCCAGCCATAAAGACCAAAATACTCACAGCAGTAGAAAGACGAGATGCTAGCGTCATCTCCAAATTTCCTTTCAGTCCCAGGAGGGCTGGAACCAGGATGAATACTTCGCCCACATACTTGAAGACATCCCAGTGCTGCAAGACCAAGGATACAGTTCAGAGTACCATACAAGATTACTAAAAGAGACTGCTAAAATGGCAATCTCAGCAATTGTGGGGAGGGGTCTTTAACAGTTTATCACAGCATCCACATTGGCATCAGCAACAGCAAACTGCCAGGGGTGGGGAAGAACCCCTTCTCTGCCAGGATTGGTTTTCTCCTGCAATGTGCAGCCATGGGAGAGTTCCGGCAATGTTTCAGCCTACAGAACATATTCAGTTAACACAGGTACATCCAAAAGATGCAAGCGGAATGAATGTGCTACACAAGGGCCATGGGAACTCTTTGCAAGTAGGTAAGAATTCTTGGGGTAATAAAGGGTTTCTCAGTGGTTGGGATCAACAGGATGATATATTAACAAAAAGAAGAAAGAACTATTGGACTGGCATGCTTAGTACTGAGTAAAATAGCAGTCACCTGTTTGTCCCAAAGGTTATAGTCTATACCAGGGAAGCCGAGTCCTGGGTCACTAAGCCCCAATTTAGAAGTGAGAAGGCTGATAGATAAGGACAAAAAAAGAGCTTATCCTGGGTGATGTTGCATAGACCCAGCACCACATTTAAATTCAGCTACTTACTATCAGTTCCAAGAACCAAGGTCCACACAGTCCAATTATCATGCCTCGGTGCTTTGCACAGGTAGCAGCCCAGTTTAAATGTGACACTGAACCCATGCTATTTTGCCTCATTAGGACCACACTTACATTGGCTCTGAACTGTATCAGGCACATCTTCTGTCTCTTAGGACCAAACCCCTGGGTTTGAATTCCCAGAATAAGTTAGAGACCTCCATGCCATCGATTTCAAGATGCAATTCCATAAATCCCCAAATGTGGGCAAAAAGTCTAGCAGGAACCAGCCCATTCTCCTTCATTCTAAAATCTGCACACTCTATAAACATCCCATCCCTCCCAGTATAAACCTTGGCATACTGCATAAACACCCAACTGCTGGGTTTCTTAGGGAGCACTAACTACAGGGCAAGAACTATAACAGTAGGACAATTGGAGAAGAAAAACTACAGAGACCACAGGCAAAGGTTTCCAAAATACACCAGGAGATACTGTATTCCTTGAGGAAGAAGCCTGGGTTAATTTCAGCATGTGTGCTTTAACCACTAATCAGCTTACTTTCTACCTGTTAAAAACTGGG